TTTTTTTGGTCGGGAAATGCCTAGCATTGGTGTGAAATTATACAGCGTTTTCTTCAAATTAATGCTGAAGCATCGCTTGCAGAGCCGGTTGCAGGCGCCGGAAAACGACGCTGCCGGCGGCTCCTTCGGCGTTACCTCGCGGCCGGATGAGGAAACCGCCGCCGCTGCCAATCCTTCCTTCACCGACGGCGTCGCCACCAAGGATGTCCACATCGATCCTGTTACATCTCTCTCCGTTCGCGTTTTCCTTCCCGATACTTGCCTCCATTCCCCTGAGACACGAACGAGATCCTGGGCTGGATCATCGAGCCCCGGATCGGATCCGAATCAAGCTACAACTCGCCGGTACAGCTACGGATCTTTGGACGGCATGCCTGTCTCCGGCAGCAACTTGAGGCGTGCTCACAATGCTGACAACAGAAGAAATAGCTACGGATATAGCGTAGACGACAGTTTGATATCCGGCAACGGGATTTACAGAGGGTACAATCCGGTCAGCCACAACCGCCGCCGGCTGCCGGTGATGCTGCAGTTCCATGGCGGGGGTTTCGTAAGCGGCAGCAATGACTCGGCCGCCAATGATTTTTTCTGCCGGAGGATTGCGAGGCTGTGCGACGTGATTGTTCTGGCAGTTGGGTACAGGCTGGCGCCGGAGGATAAGTACCCGGCGGCATTTGAGGATGGGATCAAGGTGGTGCACTGGCTCGCAAAGCAGGCGAATCTGGCAGAGTGTAGCAAGACTTTTGGGAGCTCGAGAGGAGGAGGAGGTGTAGATTTAAGGAGATCGGAGGGTAGCTGGCAGGTTTCAGATGCGTTTGGGGCTTCCATGGTGGAGCCGTGGCTGGCTGCTCATGGGGATCCATCCAGGTAATTTATTTTAATGTTTCGTTAAATTTGTTATTGGTTTGATGCATAATGGTGTTAGTTTTCTTATTTGATTGGTATGGACTATGGGGAAGATGTGGTCGTATGTGTTGGTGCTTCTTAAGCTGGTTGTTTTCAGTTTGATTAACAATGATGAGATATGATTGATGGTCGATTGTATGTATTATGCTAAATTTAGTAAACCGGTAAGTCGAAATGGGAGGAGGTGAGGAAGGAAGTGTTTCAGTGAGTGAATTTCATGTGGAAAGAATAATAGAATTGTAGATGTGTGCCGACGTGGGAATGTGAAAATGTAACTGCTGACAGGTGACTCAACTTACTTTCTAAGGATTGAAATTGTAATTGTGACACCCAGATCGTATGTTGGAGTTTAACATTTCTGTTTTTTTACCAGTGTTGTTCTGCAAAGTCCATTTTGTATTGTGCATTGTTGATGGGTAAGAAGATCTGTTGGCCGGACTTTCAAAAACTCGTATGAGTAAGCTTGGAATTCATTGAACTTTTTTCCATTTGAACTCCTACTGAGACACGACATGACCAATATTTCGTCCAAATTTGTGTTCATTATCATTCAGTGGTTCATTGTACCCTTTTCTGCAAGGGAAAACTGAGTAAGTAGATGTAACTGTGTAAACTTAGGTATATTGCTACTTTAATAAAGTTTACGTGGAAAATAAATTGTTTTTTTGCAGTGTCTCATTTGGCAAATTAAGGATAAGTTGAGAGAATAATATTTGATTAGCCTCATCAGGAAATTTGACTATAAAGTTCAAAGTGCGTGATAACTAGAGTTGTCTTATGCGGCTTTTTCCATGGTGCCTGTCATATAAGTGGCTTGTTTAACCTTATAATGTGGATGTTGATCTTTTGTGGTTTGAACTTATAACTAATGTCTTGGCTTAGAATGTCAACACTGTCCCTTGTGCAGTGCTTAGGAGGATCTTGAAAGTAAAGGGTGTCGGATTGAGAGTGGTTTTTAAAGATTATGTGTAGTGTTGCTGCCGTGTTATAATTTCAAAGAGTTCAAACTTAAAAAATCTTTACATTGGTAGTTTTAATTTTATACTTGTTTATTTATTTTTGTGTGTGCATAAAGATTAATGCCAATTCTCATCCTGTCATTTGAATTCTGATGAATGTTCAAACAACTGGAGAAATATTTACATGAAAATGTTCTGCTAGAATTACATATGACCACTATATGTCCTAAATGACGGTAGACCAAGTTGGTAAACTCTTGAGATCCCTTGGTTCATTACGGCTTATAATGTGATCACTGTATATAATGTACTATTGATTTATAGACCCAATATTTTCCTGCTCGTATGCATCCCTGATTATTCTCTGAAGAAAACTGCACTTCAAGATCTTGGAGAGATGTAATTAGATTTGAATGACCAGTGCTGGATCCTCCAATTTAAAATCCCTGTTGAGTAAATGTTTATAGTGCCGAAATAAAAACTTAAAAACATCTATATACATAACTGTGTGAAAATGACCGACCACCTCTAACTCCAATGTATGATATTTACTAATACCACCCTTGAGTTTTCGCCTAATCACATACAAAAGAAGAAAA